CCGAGGCCAGCAAGTCGCAGAGCGCGGGCAGTGCGGCGGGGTCCCGAAGGGCGGTCTGAAGCTGCTCGGTGGCCTGAGGGAGGCTGGGGGTCAGTGTGGGGTTTTCCCCGCAACCTCCCGCTCGCCCCGGTCTGGCTCCGCCCGCCCTGTACCCGGCGGATGCGCTCGGTGTCCGGCAGCAACAGCTCCCGCAGGATCTGTTCCAGGCCCGCGGGCTCCATGGCAGCAGCCGAGCGGCCGAGCGGCCGTTACTTGGCCGGGAGGTGGGAGGGTCTGCACGTGGAGGCTCTGAAACCCACTTCCGGCGGAAAGGGCGTTGCTCCGCGACCCTCCCGTCGCCAGGGTGATTCAACTTGCTTCCCACGGGAGCTCAGGCTCCTCCACTTCCGTTGGGCTAAGCGCGGCTGAGCCGCGGAAACTGCACCCAGCCGACGTAGGTTCCTCCTGCCGAGAGTTCCCAAGCTCCGTGAAACACGGAATTTCGTGAATTCCGGGGCCAACCCGGCTTCCTAAGGAACGCGGCCTGCAAAGCCAGGGCTCGAGTTCCTATATCCAGACCAAACCTTCCAACAACAGGATCCTTTTTCTTAATAAATTTTATTTTGATAATTGTAAAAAGAAAAATCAGGACCAAAATGAAAGGCAACTTAAAAAGTTCAAATATATACTTCTTATATAATAGATATTTATAATTTCCGGAACTTCCCGCGGAAAGGGAGGCGCAAAGGGCAAAGGGAAAGGCAACAATGCCATCACACAAGTCAGTCAATCAGGAGAGATGTTGGTAAGAAATAAACGAAACGTGAAGAAAGGGAGAGAAGAGCAGTTTTGCCACCCAAAACTAGTCCATTTTGAGGTTAACATAGATATAACGGATGAACTTTAGGGAAGAAAAAAAGGAGATGGTGCCCAGCATGAGGAAGAAGATGTAACCAGTGAGTAAGGAGTAGCCAAAGAATTCCACTGTCTGTACCGGCCCTGACATGTTGGAGCGCCTGGCATAGTAGAAGACTGAGTAGAGGAAGATGAAGAGCCCAGTGGAGCCAACGCTCAGTACAGATCGCCACCACCAGCGGTAATCCTCCCCTGACAACTGGAAGTAGGTGAGCGCAATGGAGATACAAGCCCCCACACTCAGCAGGATGGCAAAGACAAAGAAGAGGATGCCATACAAAGTGTACTGCTCCCGACCCCATACTGTGGCAAAGATGTAGTACAGCTCCACAGAGATGGCACTGTGAAGAGAAGAAACAAGACACTGCATTAAAGGGCTGTGCACTGACAGCACAGTGGCCAGGCCAAAACCTAGCCATCACCCACCCCTCCATGTTACTGGGTCACTTGTGGCAAGTGGGTCCAATTGACTTTGCCCTGGAGTTCATGGTTTGTTGGGGATTCTTTTACATATGATTAGCTGCTTTCATTTTAAGAACATTTTTGATAGGTTGAGAGCAGGGATCTTGACTGTTTCATTTTCCATTGTATTATCTGCCCACCACTAAGAGGTACTCAACAAATTAAATGAGTAATCAAATGGGCTTTAACTCACATAGCATTGGCAAACACTAAAGTCAGAAATCAGGAAGAGGGTGAAAGCAATTTCTCTAGAGAGCTTTACAAGTGAGACACCTCATATTTGTACTGACTCAAACTCAGTCCTGCTTGGAGAAAGGAGGAACCCTTTAGTGATCTCTTAGTGGTACAGCTGAACCAGAGATTATCACTGACATTGGGTTAGGGCATAGTGTGAGTGGGGAAAGGAAAAGTTGAGGTCAGAAACCTGAGAGTGATGGCCATAGGATAAAGGGAGGATACCTGAAAGGCAGGAAGCCTCCAACAGTCATGTGGATGAGAGTAGACTTGTACCAGGGCTGAGGTGGGATTTCCCGGGCGATGTTCTTGGTGCGACAAGGTGCATCAAAGGGGTTAGCATTGTTCTTCCCGAAGATACCACCAATGACAGTGAGGGGAAAGCCCACCAGCAGCCAAACCGTCAGAAGCAGCAGGATGGTGGTGGCTGGCAAAGCCTGGGTCGAACCATTGGCCCAATGTACTGAGTTCACCACACTCCAGGTCAGGAAGAAAGGCACTGCAAGGATGGGCCCCCAGAGAGAGGGTCAGCATTAGGAGCTACATCCCTGGGGCACCCGCCTAGACTGCTCCCAGGCAGATGCCACCCTTTCCTGTTCCATTCCTTGTTCCTTATCTTACCAACACCCCTTCTCTCCCATCCATTATCATTAAGGATCAAGGCAGCTTTACATAATGACCTAAGAGTGACACAAGTCCACCTGCCCCCAAGGGCCTGTCCTGCTGTGGCATCAATGATTCCCAACATGAAACATTCCTTTCCTTCAGAAAGCCCTGGTTCAACCATAAATGTGATGGAATATAAATCAAACCTTTAGCATTGGGAACATGAAAGTTTTAGAATGCAAATTATTACTGCCTTTGAAAGGATACGCCAGCTTGAAGGCTAGAGTGTGGTAGCCCACCTCAAAAATAAGAAAATTAAACCCTAGCCAGTTTGGCTCAGTGGATAGAGTGCCAGCCCGTGGACTGAAGGGTTTTGGGTTTGATTCTGGTCAAGGGCATGTACCTCAGTTACAGCCTCGATCCCCATGCGGGAGGCAACCAATCAATGTGTGTCTCTCACATTGATGTTTCTCTCTACCTCTCCTCCTCCACTCTGAAAAATTAATGAAAAAATATCCTTAAGTGAGGCTTAACAAAAAAAAAATAATAAAACTAAAAAAAATGCGAGTATCAAAAAATAAATTCAAGGTGTTATCTCACTGTAATAGTTGAGATTACAGGCTCTAGAGTTGGAATGCTTGGGTCTGAAACCTGGTTCACTACTTTTTAAAAAATATATATATATATCTTGATTTCAGAGAGGAAGGGAAAGGGAGAAAGATAGAAAAATCGATGATGAGAGAGAATTATTGATTGGCTGCCTCCTACGTGCCCCCTATTGGGATTGAGCTGCAACCCAGGCATGTGTCCTTGACCAGAATCGAATCCAGGACCCTTCAGTCCACAGATTGACATGCTACCCACTGAGCCAAACCGACTAGGGCTGGTTCACTACTTTTTTTCGTTAATCCTCACCAGAGATATACTTCCATTGATTTTTCTTTTTTTTTTAGAGAGAGAGAGTGTAAGGGAGAGGAAGAGACAGAAACATCGATCGGCTGCCTCCCACATGTGCCTCAACCAGGGCCGGGATTGAGCCTGCAGCTGAGACATGTGCCCCTGACCGAATCCAACCCGGGATCCTTGAGTCCACAGCCCAACGTTTTATCCGCTAAGCCAAACCGGCTAGGGCTGGTTCACTACTTTTTAGGAGTGTAATCTCAGACAAGCTACTTAATCTGTCTGAAAAAAAAAATGGGGGTAAATAAAATGGGGGTAATATTAACTACTTCATAGAGTTATTGTGAGGATTAAATGAGATGAAAGCATGTTGAGTACTTACCATACTGCCTAGGACATTTTAAGGGCTTCATATTTTTAACCATGCAAAATAAATGCATTCTTGTCTTTGGAATGGTTTTCTTATTGTTTTGTGTGTTTTTTTGTCTTCCTATTTTCATTCCCTTGGAGCCTCTGACTCTATCCCAGGTTCCGTGATGTATTCTAAGTTCCTAAGTTGGCCCAACAGGGAAAAGGCAATTCTCACCAGAGAAGAGACTGGTGGTAAGAATGATGTTCCACACCCAACGCTCGCCTCCGATCTGCCGGTAGAAGTGGCTGGACACATAGCCAGAGATGCAGCAGGTCAAGGCATACAACAAGATGGCTGCTGAGTTAATGGCCCCATGATGGTGCACATTGAACATGCCGAGCAGCGCCATGACAATAATGCCTGCAGGGTGGTAGTGGAAAACCTGTGTTAGGGCTCACCTATCCCTCTTCTGGCAATTTCAGAGGAATTAGCCCCCTTCTCCCAGACCCAAGACCTCCAGCAAAACACTATCTCCCAGTTCTGTTGTCCAGAAAACCCACAATTAGAATATACACATCCTTGCTAGAGCCATCCCACCCTTAACTTAGTCTGCTCCTCACCTTAGACAGATCTGCAGATTCTTTCTGAACAAACCACCTACTTGGATTTAATCCTTTAGAAATACCCCTGGTTAATTTTTATCACCTCACCAGTGCCAAGGGCCAGGAACTGGGCACCCACACCAAGCACAGCGCAGAGCAGACCACGGTACGGAGGGAAACGGAAGACATCTGTATGGATGATTTTCCAGCCATTGTCACCTTGGTCAAAGTCATCACCAGAACCTGCAGAGGTTGTCTCCTCATCCAAGTTGTACCGAGCCAGGTCATTCCGAAGCACACGTCTGGGGGCTGTGAGGCAGGAAGCCACTCTCCTCCATGTAGCCCACAAAGCCACGGAGTGGCAAGTCGTCCACCACAAATTCAAAATAGTACAATTCCTCGATGGCCTGGCGCAGCTGTTCCACCTACAAAAAGCAAGTCAGGAATCAGACAAGGCCTCCCTAGCACAGGGTTAGAGAAGGGTTTTTCAACTTTGGCACTGTTGACATTTGGGGCTGAATAATTCTTTGTTGTTGGATGATGTAAGATACATCATCCCTGGCTTCTTCTCACTAGAGTATCATCCCTCGATAATGACAATCAAAAATATCTCCAGGCAGTGCCAAATGTCCCTTGGGAGACAAAATTGCCCCGTCTTGATCCACTGGGTTAGACCCTATAATGTTGTGATTCTCCAAAAGCAAGTATGACTTGACAGGGTTAAGGCCTAGAAAAAGGAGAGAGGCAAGGTGTAAGAAGGTCTAGAGTAGATTAAGGAAAAGTGTCCAAATACAAGATTTGCTAAAGGAAATAGTATGACAGCCCTGGCTGGTGTTGCTAAATGGTTAGAGCATCACCCCACGCACCAAAGGATTTGATTCCTGGTTCAGGGCACATTCCTGGGTTGTGGTTCACTCCCCGCCCCCCATCAGGGCTTGTTAAGGAGGCAACTGATCGGTGTGTCTCTCTTACACCAATGTTTCTCTCTCCTTCCTTCCCGCCTTTCCAGTCTCTGAAAAGCAATGGAAAAAAATACCGAGTGAGGATTAACAAAAAGAAAGAAAAAAGCACGACAGGGAAGTTTAAGTAGAGTGTAAAGGAGCCAATTATGGAAGGGCTGAAGGGTGAGTATGGACGGAAATAACTGTGTAGCAGTGATAGTTGGGAGCTTACTACCAGAGAGAAGCTTAAGTCAGGCTCTAATACAGCCGTGGGCAAACTATGGCCCGCGGGCCGGATCTGGCCAGTTGGAAATGAATAAAACTAAAAAAAAAAAAAAGACCGTACCCTTTTATGTAATGATGTTTACTTTGAATTTATATTAGTTCACACAAACACTCCATCCATGCTTTTGTTCCGGCCCTCCAGTCCAGTTTAAGAACCCATTGTGGCCCTCGAGTCAAAAAGTTTGCCCACCCCTGCCTAATATCAGCTCTGCAATTCCCTATCCATGTAGTCTTGAAAAAGTCACCTCTGTGCAAAGTATGTTCCTTCATCAACTGAATGCAGACAATACCACCTGCCCTGCCTGTCACATGGGGCTGTAGTTAAAATCAAGTCAGATCTTTCCATAAAGATGCTTTGAAAACCATAAATGTGATGCGCTGTTATTAGTCCCTGGGAGGGAGGGCTAAGTTCTAGCCAATGCAGAGAGACTGACCTGTGCAGAACTGAGCTGCATGTGGCACAGAATTCTCTTTTCCACATTCTCCCGAAAGCGAATCTCGTACAAAGACTCGGCCATTCTGTCACCATCCAGCACTTCACCCAGGCTAAGGCTTTTGTGCCGGATCTTCTCAGGGCAGCAGACTGGAAGCTGATAGTAGTGGTAAGTCTCCTGAGGGTTATGGTAGGGTCCCACTTTGTTGACATACAGAATGACAGGGTCGCCGGCTTTGTAGTGTGTCACACCTGCCACCCCCGTTGTGCTCAGCAGCAGCATCAGGAGTGGCAACCACTGGCAGCTCCAACTTCTCGGGGGCCCTAGGACTGTCATCCTTAAGGCAGTGGAACCTGTTTGGGAGAGTGCTGAGGTTATGGAAACCAGCAATCAACTCATGACGCCCCAAGTCAAGAGCTCAATGATTGAATTCCTCCCATTGGCGCATCCGACCTTCTCTCAGAAAGCCATCTCCGGATCCCCTACACCACACCATGCTTCTATCCCAAAGACGGCTGCACCTCTGCTCTCTTGTCCTCAACCCGGGCTTCCCCACAGAATGACAGGGTCGCCGGCTTTGTAGTGTGTCACACCTGCCACCCCCATTGTGCTCAGCAGCAGCATCAGGAGTGGCAACCACTGGCAGCTCCAACTTCTCAGGGGCCCTAGGACTGTCATCCTTAAGGCAGTGGAACCTCCAGCACCTTCCCGCAGCAGTCCCGGGGTCCTCACCGTGCAGGAAGGGCTGGCCGAGGCGGCGCCAGAAGCCTCAGCGGCCCCGTAGCTGCCCTTGGGCTCCCGCTGGGGTCTGCCCCAGAGCTGCGCGCTAGCGGCGGCCTGCTGAGGACCTGGGGACCGACCTCCATGGGGTTGGCCGCCGCTGTGCCTGATCGTAGCGACTGCGGTCACACCACGTGAGACCCCTCACTCCGCTCAGCGAAGTGCTCGCTCAGGAGCTTTGTGAAGCGGCAGGCCCTGCCCAGCTCTGGCGACCGCTCAAGGCTCAGCCTGCGTCTCTCCGGGCCGGGGGCCCTCCTGGCGATCGGGAGAGCAGCCCAAGACACGTCAGTCTTACCACTTCCGCTCTCACCCGCGGGGCCCTCAGCCCGGCTGGAAGCGTCTTCCCAGACGTTAAAGGGGACTAACCCCGCTGACGGTTCCTGAGCAGGGCTGCGGACCGGGCCTGGCTATCAAGATCAAGGCGCCGTTTCGGGAAAAGAGTCGTCGCCAGGCCGCCCTCCTGTCCCCGGGAAGGTTTGGGCGGAGGGCTTGAGAGCAGTTCCCGCGTGCGCGCCCAGTGACTGTCCAGGACGTGGAACCCGGGCGGCTGCCGAGCCCACACCTAGTGGGCGCCCCGAAGCGTTTGCCGGCTGCACCGACAGCCTTCGCCACCGCCCTAGACCTGAGCGGTCCACGGTCCCCAGCCCGGGCCTGGTGAGGCTTGTGGGCACAGCCCACACAGGGTCCTTGATCCCGGATCTCACCTCCCGCCCCTCGTCCTGAACGGCCTGCCTTCCCGAGGCCGCATTGGAGGCCTCCGTGGCCGTGCAACGACCGTTCATGTCTGACGATAGGCAGGCCTGCGCGGGGGCCGGGGTGGGGGCGCAGAGAGGGTGTCTGCCCGTTCCCCCTGTGAGTTGGGCAGTCCGACAGGGTTATTGTTAATTGCAGGTAAAGAACCTTGCCATGCGTTGTCTCTTTCCTGTTTTTGTTCTTATCTATGTATATATATTTGGAATGCTCTTAATTTTGTGTTGCAGACTATTCAAGGGTGTCTACCTGTAAGGGCGTTTTCCTGGAGATCGGGCCCAGGGGCAGAGACCTTCCTTTGGCCACCTGGGAGCAGCATGTGAGGAAGCTGCAAGTCACAAGTGGCTTCTGGCCTGAAAAGTCCTTCATTTGCCAACATCTGCCCCCTCTGACCCAACCCTCCTTCCTACAGGAGGTGAGGTTCCAGGAAGTAGGGGGTTGAGTTTTTTAGAAAACGATTCTTGCAATTAGAAAAGTAGCTTAAGCCCTAGCCTGTTTGGCTTGGTGGATGGAGCTTCGTCCTGCGGACTGAAGGGTCCCGGGTTCGATTCAGTTCAAGGGCACATGCCGGGTCTGTGGCTCTATCCCCAGTAGGCGGCGTGCAGGAGGTGGCTGATCAGTGTTTCTCTCATCATTGATGTTTCTGTCTCCCTCCCTTCCTCTCTGAAAAAAGTAAAAATGTTTGTTGTTGTTTTAAGTAGCTTAAGTGGCTTTGGAATAGTTTTTAAGCGACAGCCTTCGTTCTCTAAAGCCAGAAACCTGGGCCTCTTTCTCAATTACCCGCCCCCCCCCCCGCCCCCAGATCAATGCCACCAAGTCCCTTCTGCTTATTTCATGAATATCTTCCAAATACCTGCTCTCCCTGCCTGTCTTGATTCAGGCCCACCCTCTCACCTAAATTACCTTGACAGCAGCTTATTAAAAACATAGCTATCTGGGTACCACCAAATCAGGATCGTGGGGGAGTGGGCATCACTATTTTTTAATAAGCTCTCATTTTGGTGCGCATCAAAATTTGATCATGAGTATATAAGGTAAAGTCAAAAAAGCTTGGCATGGCCTGGCTGGCATTGCTCAGTGGTTGAGCATTGACCTATGAGCCAGGAGGTCATGGTTCCCAGTCAGGGCACAGGCTGAGGTTGCCGGCTCAGTCCCCAGTAGGGGGCGCATGCAGGAGGCAGCCGATCAATGATTCTCTTCATTGATGTTTCTATCTCTCCCTCACCCTTCCTCTCTGAAATAAAAATTTATTAAAAAAAAAAAAAAAGCAAAAAGCTTGGCATGTAAGGTCACTCAGACCTGGACCTTAATTGTTTTTTTAGGTACATTCCCCTTCTGTAATCCTATCTTGTATTCAAGTTAAAATTCTTTTTTCCTTGTTTAAAATTAATTTTAGAGAGATGAAGGAAGAGAAACATCCATTTGTTGTTCCACTTATTTATGCATTTATTGGTTTCTTCTTATATGTGTCCTCATCTGAGATAGAATTGGTAATGCTGGCATTTGGGGATGATGCTCTAACCAACTGCTCTCTGGCCAGGGCTCATATTGAAATTCTAAATGTCATGTTCTCTCAAGCCTGCAAGCCTCATGTGGTTCCTTCTGCCTGAACTGCCCAATCTACCATTCCTGACCTGCATGGAGGCTTTTGAACAGTGCAAGCGCCATCTTCTCTATAAAGCCTTCCCTTTCATCTCTTTCCAAGCATTGTTTGTAGCACTTTATCTCTACTGTTATTTCTTATGTGTGTCTCCCTTGTTAACTGCTAACTCCTTACAGAATTTTATCCATTTTGCTATCCTCTGGACCTAGCAGTGCTCTTGTATATAGTAGGTAGCTTAACCGTTTGACTGCTAAGGAGCGCTATCGTGCTCTTCTTATTTAAAACAAATTTATGTAAACAATTGGTATTTTTTAATTTTTGTTGTTGCAAAGCAATACAAGTGAGTTTATTGTATAAAAAGTGTTTTACATTTTTTCCCATACACGCGCAATTAGTGCCGCAGTTTTGGCATATGTCCGAAAAAATACGTCAGCAGCCAAACGGTTAATACACGTTCTTTATTTATTTATTTTTTTAAAATATATTTTATTGATTTTTTACAGAGAGGAAGAGAGAGAAATAGAGAGCTAGAAACATCGATGAGAGAGAAACATCGACCAGCCGCCTCCTGCACATCTCCTACTGGAGATGTGCCCGCAACCCAGGTACATGCCCTTGCCCGGAATCGAACCTGGGACCCTTCAGTCCGCAGGCCGACGCTCTATCCACTGAGCCAAACCGGTTTTGGCAATACACGTTCTTTAAATGAAGTGGGTAACTCCCCTCCACCCCTGCCTCCTTACCACAGCGCCCTGGACAATGCTCATCTTGACAGAGTAAGGATATGTAGGTCAGGTTGTCAATAAATGGGGATTTACCAATAGCCTATGGCATAATCTGTTGTTGAAGTTTTTGTTTTATTTTGGAGGATGGAAGATAAAAGACATCTGATTGTTCCCTTAGTTTTTCCTCTGCATGTCCCCTTGCCTTCCCCCAAAATCTCAAATCCAGACAACCCCTTTATGATCACAACCCCCTTTCCTGGCATTCCCACCAAATTTGTTCTTCCATTTCACCGAGACCTAGAACCCCTCCCACTACCCCTTTGGCTTTTTTCTATCTTGTTTTCCAAACCATGCACCTTAGATTCTGCATTCCATCATTTCAGCCACATTCTTGTCTGTGTTTTGTTTGTTTTTAATATATTTTTTATTGATTTCGGCGAGGAAGGGAGAGGGGGAGAGAGATTAAAAACATCAGTGATGAGAGAGAATCATTGATCAGCTGCCTCCTGCATGGCCCCCACTGGGCATTGAACCCAGAACCCTTCAGTCCGCAGGCCGACACTTTACTGAGCCAAACCAGCTAGGGATGAAATCAATTTTTAAAAAATAAAATTAAAAACACAGGCAAGCCCTAACTGGTTTGGCTCAATGGATAGAGCGTCGGCCTGTGGACTGAAGGGTCCTGGGTTTGATTCCGGTCAAGGGCACATGCCTGGGTTGTGGGCTCAATCCCCAGTGGGAGCCATGCAGGAGGCAGCCAATCAGTGATTCTCATTATTGATGTTTCTATCCCTTCTCTCCCTTCCTCTGAAATCAATAAAAATAAATTTTAAAAGTTCAGGGTGGGGGGGAAGGAGACATATGTAATACTCTTTGTAACACTTTAAGCAATAAAACAAAATAAAAAAATATATTGTTATATAAAAAATAAGAAATAAGAATAAATAAATTTTTTAAAAAAGAATTTGTACTTGATTCTAAGGAGAATGGGAACATATTAAATTGTTTTAAATGGGCCTCGCTGGTGTGGCTCAGCAGTTGAGCATCAACCTAAGAACCTAGAGGTCCCTGGTTTGATTCTGGATCAGGTCACATGCTGGGGTTATGGGCTCGATCCCCAGTGGGGGTTGTGCAGGAGGCAGCTGATTAATGATTTTCATTATTGATGTCTCTCTCCCTTTCTCTATGAAATCAATAAAAATATATTTTAAGAAATTGTTTTGAATGGAATTAAATCAGGTTTATGCTTTGGACTTTAGGGTGAAGTAGAGTTTAGGGTCATGGAAAGCCAGATAATGCATTTCAAGGTTAAGAGGTGGAGTCTACTCCACACCTTCAATCTGAGTGATCCTTGTAACCTTGTAATTGTCTTTACTCTTATAAAGATGTTTGAAGTGATGCTTTGTGATTTTAGAGCCTAGCCTTAATTGGTCATGTGACTTGTGATTTTTTTTTTTCCTCTTGAAATTCAGTGCCACTGTGTGAGGGAACTCTGGCTTGTCTGCTGGATAATGAGACCATATGAAGCAGAAACAAACCATCCCAGCTGAGATGAGACCAACTAAGTCTAGCTCAGTTTGCAAAAATAAAGTTGTTTTAAGCCCAAAACAGAAAAATGTATGAATTTTAAAATTAGATTCTTTAGAATTGCTTCTATAATACCTTGCAATTCTCTTTAATATTCTCACACTCATTGCCCTAGTGCCACGTTGGCTCAGTGGATAGAGCGTTGGCCTGTTGACTAAACGGTCCCAGGTTCAATTCCTGCCAGGGGCACATGCCTGGGTTATGGGCTCGATCCCCCGCCCCCCAGTAGGGGGCGTGCAGTAGACAGCCAATCAATGATTCTCATCATTGATATTTTTATCTCTCCTCTCTGAAATCAATTTTTAAAAAAATTCTCACACGTGTTTTTTACGCTGGATATAAAGTCTGGGAGCACAGGGTCTACTAGCCTTGTTGCTTATTTTATCCCAGTACTCAGCACACTGCCTGGCACATAGTAGGTGCTCAATAAACATGAGTGGTTGGCCCTAGCCGGTTTGGCTCAGTGGACAGAGCATCGGCCTGAGGACTCAAGGGTCCCAGGTTCGATTCTGGTCAAGGGCATGTACCCAGTAGGGAGTGTGTAGGAGGCAGCTGATTGATGTTTCTCTCTCATTGATGTTTCTAACACTCTGTCCCTCTACCTTCCTCTCTGTACAAAAATCAATAAAATATATATTATAAAAAATAAATAAACATGAGTGGTTGAAGTGACCATATCTATGAAGGAGTCTCACCAGATTGTGAAGGTGCTCCAGGAATGAATATGTTCCAAACCACTTCATTCTCAAGCCTGTGGCCAGTGGTGAATAGGTGAATTGTGATGTGTGCGGAACATGGGACCTTCGGGAATTCCGTAATCAAGAGGAGAATGAGTAACAACAGCTAGTGGAGACAAAGAATTCTCCCTTTTCCCCACTCCATGTTCCCAGTGGAGAGCGGAACCCTGCATCCCAGATTTGTGTGACTACACAGGCAAGCATTTGGAGACTAACTTCACTTTGGTACCTTAGCCTCAGTGGCTCAAGGTGTTGGTTTTCTGAGCAGACAGGAGGCTCTTAAGTAGCAACGCTCCCTGCTCTCAGCAAGCCCAGCACATGGGGAAGGGGGACACCCAGGAGGCAGCACCGCCCACTTCGGCCTACCGCTCTGTCATGGAGGAGTACGGTTATGAAGTGGGCAAGTCCATTGGCAATGGCTCCTACGGGACAGTGTATGAAGCTTACTACACAAAGCAGAAGGTCATGGTGGCTGTCAAGATCATCTCAAAGAAGAAGGCCTCTGAGGACTATCTTGTCAAGTTCCTGCCTCGTGAGATACAGGTTAGAGAGGGTACAGGAAGAGGGAACTGGTACCAAGCTGCTTAAGGCTTCTCAGAAGAGGTATGGCTAGGAGGGGGTGGGGCCAGAAACCCCCAAACCAGAACTGATATAAATCCCATCTCTTTCCACTCACTCATTCACCTTCAGCCCCTCAAAAAGGAGACATGCAAAGCACAGGGTTTGCCCACAGGCCACCAAACGCTCTTTTGTTCCTGTTGCAAAGTACTATGAAAGTAGCACTGAGAGAGCAGGGGGCCGGGAGCACAGCCACGGTTCTCCCTTCCCAGGCTTGATGGGTCCCTCTTCTGGGGCCAGGTAATGAAGGTCCTGCGGCACAAGAACCTCATCAACTTCTACCAGGCCATCGAGACCACGTCCCGAGTGTACATAATTCTGGAGTTGGCTCAGGGCGGCGATGTCCTTGAATGGGTCCAGCGCTACGGGGCCTGCTCTGAGCCCCTTGCGGGCAAGTGGTTCTCCCAGATGTCCCTGGGCATCGCCTACCTGCACAGCAAGGGCATCGTGCACCGGTGAGTGTGCTGCCACCTGGACTGGGGCCTTTGGGCTCTCAAGGGGGTTTTATGCACATTTCTGCCCTGTTTTTTCCTCCTTTGACCTCCCTTCTCAGTATCTAGGCCCATTCATCCATATTTTTTAGCTGGTCAAGAACATTTATTAAGTACCCACTGTGGTTAGAGCACTTTATGAAATGGTGAGCTCCCAGGGTCCTCAGATACCATCCTCTTACGTCTTTGGGCTCTGCTCACAACTCCATGGTTTTCCTTCTCTGCTTTGTTTTCTCACAATGGCATCTCTCTTGCGCTATGCCTTTCCTCATCTCTAGCCTCTGACCCCTGGCCCTTCAGTTCTGAGTCTAATACTAAGTCCTCTCCCTGACCCCCAGCTTTTCTGCTCCTTGTAGGGACTTAAAGTTGGAGAATTTATTGCTGGACAAGCGGGAGAATGTGAAGATATCAGACTTTGGCTTCGCCAAGATGGTACCTTCTAGCCATTCTGTGCATAATAGCCCTTCTTTACACCAAAGGACCTATTTTACCCACCTCAGCCAGACCTACTGTGGCAGCTTTGCTTATGCCTGCCCAGAGATCTTGCTAGGCTTACCCTACAACCCCTTCCTGTCTGACACCTGGAGCATGGGTGTCATCCTCTACACTCTGCTGGTTGCCCGTCTGCCCTTTGATGACACCAATCTCAAGAAGCTGCTGAAGGAGACTCAGAAGGAGGTCACTTTTCCACCCAACGTGTCCGTCTCCCAGGAGTGCAAGGTGCTGGCTCTCCCAATCGTACTGAGGACTCAGGGACCCACAGGGAGGGAACCCAACCCAGGCCTCCCAACGCTAGAGAAGGCTCTTCCCTACCAGAGCCATCTTGCACTCTAGCCCCTGCCCTAGAATAGTGGGAAGGACTTAAAGGGCCAACCACTGGGTTCCGTACCTTAGATGTGAGTGGTGAGCAGGATTCACCTATCTTTTTAGGCCAGAAGAGGATTATGCAAGGGATCCCCCCAATGAATCCATCCTTCTCTTCCCCTCCAGGGAGTTAAAGGCTTGGTTCTTCAGGAAACAATCAGGGTCACAGACCCTTCCATCAGAGTGGTGTGATGGGCTATCCTGCTTCTTTCTTAGGTCCCCTGTTAAATGCCTGTGTGGCATAATGGGAGGCTCAGCCAAGACCCCTCTCTCCCCTGCCTAGAACCTGGTCTTCCAGACGCTACGTCCACCCAACAAGCGTGCCACCATCCTGGACATCATCAAGGATCCATGGGTGCTCAAGTTCCAGCCTGAGCAACCCACCCATGAGATCAGGCTGCTTGAGGCCATGTGGCAGCCGCTCAGCACGGCGAGTCGTCGCGCATCCTTGGAAATCAGTATCTGAAAGTGGCTGAGGCAGGGGTTGAGAGAGGAGCAAAGCAGGAAGGGTTTGGGGCTGAAAATCTTTTATACCAAAAATAAATCTAATTCTGATTAGTTTCATTAGTTGGGGTCAAAGATATTCTTTCCTTAGGGAACCTTAGCAGGAACACTGCTGAGGGTAAGAGGTGATTTCTGCCCAGAGCCTGTGACTAGTAATCTTGATAGCTGTTAAGTCCACATTGTCATTCACAGTGTAGCTTATATTTGGCTCATGGAGGAGGGTGTACTCAGATGAAAACATGCTTTAGAGAAGTTCATTATTCTGGCTAAGTACATGTTCACTATTTTACATTCCTCTGCACTTTAAATGGTCAAGTCATAGGGTAGAGGCCCTGGTTGCTCTGTTTGGTCATGGCTCTGCCTCTGTCTATAGTCTAAAGGGACAGCATTGTGTTATCAAGCCTGGCCAGTGGTGGTCAGTGGTTGGAGGTCACAGTCCGATTACAGGTCGGGGCACATGCCCAGATTGCAGGCTCAATCCCCAGTAGGGGGCAGCCGATCAATGATTCTCTTTCATCACTGATATTTCTTTCACTCTTGCCCTCTCCCTCCCTCTCTGAACGCAGTATTTTTTTAAAAAAAGAAAAGTAATGGTTATCAGGATATATGAAGTATCTTGTTCTCTGTCACTCCTCTAAATTCACTATTGAAACAGCCCCAGTGAATCCTAGCCACACACACTATTGCTCCTAGACAGAAAAGTGACAGTTCAAACCAAGTCTACTAACTGTGGGTTCTGGATAAAGGAAAGCTACTTGCCCCTTTATCCCTGTATTCTCCTTCCCTATCATTAATAATGGGCTTTGCAAAAAAAAAAAAAGGGTAGTAAATCATGGGGCTGTCTTCTCAGATGCTGACTGGGGAAAGTGATGAGGGAAGATGCAGAGAAAGCTCCAGTTCTAAGATAAGCAATAGATGGCAGTTTCCTCAGCCACAGCTCTAGCAACTCTAGGACAAACCAACTTGCAAGATGAACCTAGTAGGTAAGATACTGGAAACATTTATTCTATGTTACAATGCCCCTTCCTTACTCCTGTTAGTATTCACTGCCTGAAACAGCTCCAAGTTTCAGGTGTAGACAAGGCCGTATAAGCACTAGGATTCCATCTGCCCAATTTTATTGAAGACAAGGGCACTGTAACTGCTATCAAAGAGAAGGGAGCCCAGGGGCTCCTCCCACACCAAGATCCTTCTTCAGAGTTGATCCACGCCAGGGATTGGAGGGCAGCAGAGCCTTTCTCAGGCAGGGACATACCACCACCCTCAGCAGGGCCTCCCAAAAGGCTATGTTCCTTTAGCTTAGCACTTGGCACTTAAGGAAAAGAGATCAACGAAGGCAGCATCAGGAAGATAAGCCCCGACTCATCAGGATACCCACTCAGCCAACTGCTTTAGTGTGTCCTCATCTTCATCCGCCTTGGGAGCTTTGGGGACAAGGATATCCAGAGAAAGACATGTTAAAGCCTCAGCACCTTCCAATCACCCCTTGCTACAGCACTCAGAACCTGCTGAATTCTCTCTCCCCAGCAAAGAACCTAAAGGTTTGGTACTTCTGCTTGCTGGGCTGCTGCTAATCCTGTATCTTTGTGCAAATTTTTAAAAGGTGCCTGTTTTGCACAGCATCTGCAGCCCTAAACCAGGGCACACAGTTTGGTGAGTGGAGCACAGACTGGATTTTGGTCCCCATTCTCCTTTAGTCAGGTGCCCTTACAACAACCTGTGCAACTTTAGCAGCAGCCCTTTCTGCCTGGTTCCTTTAAGGCAGGATAGATGAGGAACTCTCTCCCCATATCTATCCCACCCTCTCAAGTCCTTAAGACATCAGAACAGCCCTGGGTACCTGGCCCTGCAGGCAGATGTGTAGAGGGTACACTGGGCAGTTTGACTGGGGGTTCTTCCTCCTTGTCGCCCACATGTAACAACTCCCGAGCCAATTCCTCTTGTTCCAGCTCCTCTAGTTCCTCCAACAGTTCATCCTAGATAGACAAGATTCAAGACAAAGGAAGGAAATTTTTGCTTCTAAAAACATACCATGTTCCCCTCTAAACTTGCCCCCCGATTCTCTTGGACATTGTTTTCTGGATGGTCCCATGCTTCCTCCAAGGCTTCCTGACCCCTCACTCCCAATCACCTCATCCACATCATCTGCAAAGCCCACAGGCCGAGAAATGGCATCAGAAATCTGCTGGGCCACCTCCTGTTGTTCTGTGATGTCGGCCATCAGTTCATCCACCTTGTCAATGTCCCTGAGAAGAAGATATATAGCCCAGAAATCAGGCAACTGCCCCCCTGACTTTCTGATCTCACATGAATGAAGCTCCTTGTCTGTGGCCTCACTGATAAATCCATGGCTAGCAGGTATACGAGATTCCCTGGAAAACTGTAACTAGGCAAGTTACAATGGCAAACTGAAAAATGGCAAGAATCCACATGGGAATGGGGGTGGGGCTGGGAACAGATTACACTCCCTTTTCTGAAGAACCTTTAGAAAATTAGGAAAATCATTTTTCCTTGCTAGAAAGCTCTAGCCAGAAAAGAGAGATTCTTGCAAGAAGAAAAGGAGGCTGACAGAGGTCTGGCCATCACAGGTGTCTATACTGTAGATTCACATGCAGAGAGCTTTTAAGATCCAAAGCCTAATACCAAGCTACTCTCCTGTGCCTGGGCCCCCTCCCCCCATACCCACATGTCCTGGTAGGCTTTCTTCATGCCATGGGCAGCAAGCTCCATGGTGCGAAGGACTTCTGCATTGGTGGTGGCATTCTCAATGGCTTCACGCTGAAACTCCAGGGTGGATAATGTCCCATCCGTTTGTGCTAGCTGCTGTTCCAATCTTTTCTTCCTCCGCAAAGCCTGTAGGGCAGCTGACCCAGCCCACACCTTGAACATCAGAGTCAGAAGCCCCTGCTTCCCACCTGGGTCCTCCCTATTGGCACCTTTCCCCTGTCACCTCTCTTATTTTTGGTCCCATGCTTCTTGGCTGTTTGGAGCTCCTGTTGAATCTTCTGTTCCAGAAACTCCTGTTTCTTGATCAGTATCTTCTCCGTTTCCTTCAGTTTCTGTATCGCCTCTTCGGGGGTTGGTCCCTTCTCCTTCTTCCCTGGTGTCAATAGAGAAGGCCCATATTGTGTGAAGGGGAAAAATTAACCACCAATCATGGAGTGCACGGTATGTGCTAGGCACTTAACTGTGTTATTTTAATCCCAAAATGGCTCTCTACAACAGCGGTTGTCAACCTGTGGGTCGCGACCCCTTTGGAGGTCGAACGAGACCCTTTCACAGGGGTCTCCTAAGACCATCCTGCATATCAGATGTTTACATTACGATTCATAACAGTAGCAACATTACAGTTATGAAGTAGCAACGAAAATAATTTTATGGTTGGGTCACAACATGAGGGACTGTATTTAAAGGGCCAGAAGGTTGAGAACCACTGCTCTACAACGAACGGACTATCTTCACTTTACAAATGTGAAAACAGGCACAAAGATACTAAACATTTTTTTGTCTGAAATCACAACTAGTAAGAGATTGAGCAGTGATTGAAATGTGGCAGTATGACTTCCAAAGCCAGTATTCTTTTGCTGTCCAAGCTGCCTTTTCAAGTCATTTCCAGCTTTCAAAAAAATTTTATAGACTTTATTTCTTAGAGCAGTTTTAGGGTCACAGCAAAGTTGAGTGGAAGGTACAGATATTTTCCATTTGCCCCTTGCACCCACATATGATTAACCTCCCATGATCACATCCCCCACCAGAATTGTCACTTTTTATAATCACTGTTCCATTTGCTATCCTAGGAGATACCCAAGGTCCTGACACCACAGGTTTAAATGGAATGAAGTACAGGGGGCTAGAGAAAAAAAATTAAAACCTGATCTCAATTTTTCCTTTCATCTTCTGCACTTCTCAGTTCTTTCCCTCCGCCCACAAATCTGATGGCCTTCCATACTCTCTACTGCCCACAGGATAAAATCCAAAGCTTTAAAAATGAGACACACAAGGTCCTCTCCTACTACACTTCCTTCTGCTTTCTCTTCCCCTTCAGCGCACATATTCATGGAACTACTCTTCCAGCTAAATATCCTCTTTCCAGCCTTTGTTTTGCGCACACACGCTGTTCCCTCTTCCTGGGGTAGCTCAGTTCCCCACCTGGCATGCTTCTAGCCTGCTGGACCTGGACACCTGCTGCTTCTAAGCTCCCTGGTTCCACGAACATCACCATGTAGTGCACACTCTAAATGCTTGTCGTCCCCCATCAGAGAGGAGCTTTGAGAAGGCCCCTTTCTTCGTCACTGCAGCTCCCCTCTTGCCCAGCACCAGAGTTTTGGAAAGGACTGGAAACTGGCCGTCGGAACCAAAACCGTGGGAGCCGGCACTGCCGCCGTCCTCCACCCCGAGCCTTCCCGGACCCAGAGCTCTTCCTTCCGAGGTGGCGGAAGGCGGGCAGGCGGCGCCTGGCGCTCTGACAAGGCGGGGCCTCCCGCACTGGAGGCCTTGCGGGGCCATCACCAGGATTTTCGGGAAAGCCTGTCCCCTGGGTTTCTTCCCCGTCTGTCTCCCCAACCCCCTCCCCTTCCCCTGTGGCCCGTGCTCCCCCCTCCCGAAGAGTCGGCCGAGACCACTCATGGCCCCTGCCTGTCCTGCCTCTGCCCCACGGCGTCCTGCACACTTCCGCCTTGTTCCTGGGAGCCTGCATCCCAGCGCTCAGAGACCCGG